AGTACATGGGCCCAAAATGAAGGGCCCATGCCCTATGAGTCCCTGAAGTGCTTAGGGACAGGGTTTAGGGTTTAGGGTTTAGGGTTTAGGGTTTAGGGTTTAGGGTTTAGGGTTTAGGGTTTAGGGTTTAGAAGATGGGTCAGTGCTTTCCTATATACCTAAGGGACAAAGGGTTTAGGTTTTAGGGTTTAGGGTTTCAGGCTTCGAGCTCCAACACCCTAAGCAAGAAGACCTCGATCTTCGGTCTCGTTCGGGTTTTTTTTGGGGAGGGGGTATCAAGGGGGGCATCCAACTCAAGCCTCCCTAACTAAGGACCTCCCTTATTTCAACCTAGGACCCACGGGTCCATAATTACTTCAGAAACGTCAAGTTAGGGTTTAGGGTTTAGGGTTTAGGGTTTAGGGTTTAGGGTTTAGGGTTTAGGGTTTACAGTTTAGGGTTTAGGGACCCTGAACCATGAACCCTCAGCCCTCAATGTGGATTTCCGAATATAGGGGCACCCCAAAATATACCAGGATCCTTTTAACTAAAGGAGCCCGAAAATCGGTACCCCCCTGTTTTCGGAAACCCCCGAATCCCAAACCCTAAACCCTAAACCCCATATCGCAATGCAAAAAGGGCCCTATATACACCCTAAACCCTAAACTTAGAGGGACGCTCAGGGAAGCTGCAGGAGGTAGGGAACCAGAACTGGGCCCCTCCCCCCGCCTTCCACTACTCCTTGACCTTAGGGTTTAGGGTTTAGGGTTTAGGGTTGAGGGTTTAGGGTTGAGGGTTGAGGGTTGAGGGTTGAGGGTTGAGGGTTGAGGGTTAGGGTTTTGGGTTTAAGGTACAGTAGCCTTAGACGATGTTGGGGAGGGTTCAGGCATTGTTTTCGCAAAGCTCTACAGCCCTAAGCCCTAAGTTCTAAACCCTAAACCCGAAACCCTAAACCCTAAACTCTAAAATGCACCCTAACACCAAATCCTGTATCTGCGGCGCCTCGATCAATGCTTCGAGCATGGTTCGCATGTTGCTCTCGAGATACCTTTGGACTTTTGGGACCGTAAAGCCTATAGATTTAGGGTTTAGGGTTTAGGGTTTAAGGTTTAGGGTGTAGGGTGTAGGAGGTTCAGTGCGGTGCCCCTGACTGTACTAAGGGCTAGGGCATAGGGCTTAGGCTTTAGAGTTTAGGGCACTTGAATCCTAACCTGTGGTACATATACCCCAATTTGGGGACCCTCTCGACATGTACTTCTAACTAGGGCCCACCTCCCCATTGGTTTAGGGTCTAGGGTTTAATAGGGTTCAGGGTTCGGGTTTAGGGTTCTAGGGTTGGCTTAGAGCTGCGGGGTGTCCGATATCAAAAACAACTGAGTTATTCTCGCTCCGGTGTGGACGGAAAAAATGACCGGCAAACAGCCATAAACAAGAAACGTATGCTCTGAATCCTAAGTTGGCCCAGACCTGTGGCTTCTTCTTGGGCAGCAGCCGAAACCCCTGGTGATAAAAGAGAATGCCGAACAAATCCAAACAAATACGGAATTTCACCTCCGCCGGAAGGTAGTCTAGATGAGGGTTTAGGGTTTAGGGTTTAGGGTTTAGGGCTTAGGGTTTAGGGTAACCTAGGAATTCAAAAGGGCACCCCTACTTTGGTTTAGAGGAGCGTATAAGGGAACCTAGACCCTTAAACAAGGGACAACGGGCCCACTCTGGGTCCTAGTATCCCTAAACCCTAAACCCTAAACCCTAAACACTAATGAAGGGGGCCTGACTCGTGGCCCTTACTCTGTCCCAGCCACTCTTCGTAGACGGCCGCAGCGGGGGCCGGCGCCATGGTTAACTACGCAAAGCCCCCACCAAGTGGGAAACCGGCCCTAAAACCCCAAAAACCCTAAAGCCCTAAAGCCCCACACACCCTGCAGCCCTAAAGCTAAAACCCTAAAGCTCTAAATTGGAGGTTTAGGGTACCTATAACCCCCAAGAACTGACTCTGCTTATATGTCCCCCTTAAGTCCTCTAAGTAGGTAATAAAGTGACTTAGAATTGGGGTCATAAAGTACCATGAACCTCCAAGTAGGTACTAGTACCCCAAAGCTCCAAGAACTTGTAGACTTTGTAGTCTCCAATGGAGCACTTTTTCGTTTATGCCTGCAGCCCTAGGAATAGGCTATCCCTGTTGATTGGATGCTTTGGATAAGTTGCATGGAGCCAGACTGCCCGGTCAGTTTCTTGCTGACGCTTTCGGCCCGCCGAAAATGCATGCAACAGTTGACCTAATTTAAACCAATGAATACAAATATTTCATATTATATATAATATATACATGTGTATATATATATATATATATACATATAGATATATATCAAACAAGGCATCTTACATGTGTATACATTTATGTATATTAACTTTAGATGTCTACAAAATTTAAAGGCACACATCATACTATACTATGATGTCAGAAGTAGGCTCGTTGCCAATTTTGATGTCTTGGAACCATGTAGACGCGTCTTTATGATGAGGACATACATGTAACCCCAAAGCCTGAAACTCATTCTTCGACCGCACGAACCACGTCACTCAAACTTCACTGGAGCACAGGGTTTAGGGTTTAGGGTTTAGGGTTCAGGGTTTAGGGTTCAGGGTTCAGGGTTTAGGGTTTCAGCCTGCAACGGCCCATACCCACCCCTCTCCAGATACCTGGACCCAGAAATGCATCTATCAGCCAAGCCCTAAACCCTAAACCCTGAATCCTAAACCCTAAACCCTAAACCCTAAAACGCACCATGTCTTGGAGATGCCTGGGCTGGTGCTGGCACCCCCTCCAGTACCTGCGGGCCTCATGATTGTTATCCGTGTTCCCTACGCAGCTTGCGGAATCTACTGTAGAAGGTTCTAACCCATAAGAACATTCTGTAGTCGGAGCCACAGGTCCACTCTGACCCCAAAAAACCCTGGGCCCTCAACTCCCTAAACCCTGTAGCCTAAACTCCCTCAACCCTGATTTTGGCCAAACCCTAAATCCTAAACCCTAAACCCGAAACCCTAAACCCTAAACCCTAAACCCTTTCTGTGTGTTGCGTTGTTGTCCAGAAGGGGAAGTGCCTTGGGACAGCATAGGCTGGTTTCAACCTTGTGCAGGACACTGCGCAGACGCAGGAAGGCCGATGGGGGGTAGTTAAGATAGTTAACGTTCAGGGTTTAGGGTTTAGGGTTTGGGGTTTAGGATGTTTTGGGGTTTAGGGTTTGGGGTTTAGGGTTCCGGGTTTAGGGTTTAGGCTTTAGGCCTTTAGGGTTTAGGAAAAACAACTACATCCTGAACCCGAAGATTCCACAACATGAAGACTTGTATTGGCATGTCCGAGGCCAGAATTAACCCCAAACCCTAAACCCTAAACCCTAACCCTAAACCCTAAACCCTAAACCCTAAACAACCAAAACCCCTAATCCCCCAATGAATATAGGGGCCTCAATAGTTTCAACAGGGTTGTGTGGCACATTTCAACATAATTTGTAAGGAGGAACCCGAAGGTATAAAACTGGCAATTGACCCTAAACCCTAAACCCCTCAATCCCTAAACTATATTATTCAAGCCCCCCGTTCGGCCTCCCGGTTCGGGTCAGGAAACGCCGATTAGGGTTTAAGGTTTAAGGTTTAGGGTTTAGGTTTTAGGGTTTAACGCCGAAATGCCGACCCCGCACAGCTGGAAGATTCCAGGCGGGATATGCCGTGGCATTTCAACTTGCTGTTTGATGGGTCTGGACCCTGCACCCCTGCATCCCCTCGCCCAGCAACAATTCAAGAGTCTTTCAAGGACAGTGCTCTGATCTGCGGTTTAGGGGTTTAGGGGTTAGGGGTTAGGGTTTAGGGTTTAGGGTGTGATTCAACTTCAAACGAATGAAGTATAAGTGTGATATGGGGGGTTTCCGACATGGGGGGTACCTTCTTGGGTTCTTAGTATCAGGGGGTCCGGACCCCCTATTGTTTTGGGGTATTAGGGCCCTTATTTTCGTAAACTCCCACATGCATTAACGGACCCTGAACCCTGAACCCTAAACCCTAAACCCTAAACCCTGAACCCTAGACCGTCCGATCTCGGAACGGATCCGCTTTGCGCATTGGCGGGGGCATGCAAGGTCTTCGTTCCCTGACACTTCAAGCTGTTGGCTTGCGCTACAGAGCCCGCACAGCATCCTTATATAGATCCCTTGCAGAAGCCTTCAAGGTCCCTGATGAAATCCTTATGCCCCAAACCCTAAACCCTAAACCCTAAACCCTAAACCCTAAACCCTAAACCCTAAACCCTAAACCCTAAACCCTAAACCCTAAACCCTAAACCCTAAATTTATGAATCCCTTCAAAGGGCCCTTTCAAGGCTTCGGATGTCGGCCTAAGCTTCGTCGTTCTTGCTAAAGAACTCACTCCCAAATCGTCGGTTTAGGGTTTAGGGTTTAGGGTTTAGGGTTTAGGGTTTAGGGTTTAGGGTTTAGGGTTTAGGGTTTAGGGTTTGGGGTTTAGGGTTTAGGGTTCAGGGTTTAGGGCAAGTACCGAGACAGCCTATACTTTTGGGGTACAGGACATGTAGGACTTAAGGTTTTGGGGGCGGAAAAATTTGCGATGCGGCACTTCATACCAGATCGTCGAAAGTAATGCCCTCGAGAGCATAGACTTTTAGGGTTTGTGGGTTCTGAGGGCAAAACAAATCACGATGAGGGACTTAAACCCTTCGGGGGCGTTAGTTGCCATGGCCACAACGCTTTCCGCCACATATCCGAGTATTGCAGCTTCACTGAAGCCCAAAAAACAAAAGGGCGCGGACTTCTCCGCCGTAATTCCTGCTGCTGGAAGAACGGCAGTGCCCAAGCAACGACCGTTGTGTCCGCAAATGCACCCGAAAAATCCATGTGGGCCAAATTCTATACCTTGGACCCCTGAGGGACAGGTATACCTGAGAATCATTTTGATTGAGCAGAGCACACAGCGCCCTAAGCTCTTTCAGTTCGGGCTGCCGACTGCAGGTTCAAAATTCAAGATGGACGTAGCCATCCTCTAATGCAAGTCCGGACACCCTCTTACACTCAACTGGATTACCCTCGAGGCCCGACTTCAGAAAATCGGGGATCCACTGGCCGCTGGCAAAGTCCCGCGCGGTCCAGTTCCGGGAATTGCGGAGGTCCAGTCTTGCACCCGCCGCAATCAGGGTGGCCGCGGCTTCGTATTGCGCCGACCGGATCGCCTGCATCCTTGCTTCTCCAATAACCAAGGGAGAACAAAAGGTTAAACTTGAATATTCCTACTAAATAAAGGACACCCAAAAAGTTTAAAGCTCAGCTAAAAGCGAAGTAAGCATCAGTGGCGTGCTGCCGTGCATGTGATATGCACCTGTCGCCAAAACCGTGCTCCAGCCGAGCTTGTGCTGCAAGGACTTCGTGGCAAAAAGCAGCCGGCCCAGTCCTGGTTCATTGTTGGGATGATATTAGAAATTTAAATTATTATTCCTTATTGGGTTTAAGTCCCTAAACCCTAAACCCTAAACCCTAAACCCTAAACCCTAAACCCCTAAAATGCTACCCAACTATGACAAAGGGTCGCGGCAAGCAGCCCATGTCCATCTGGAAGTCGACGTCAGCACGGAGGTCAATCAGCCGCTGGACCGTTGCCGCACCGCCTCGAAAATGGGTGTTTAGGGTTTAGGGTTTAGGGTTTAGGGTTTAGGGTTTAGATCTGGCCTCGAAAGTTGGTAGCTTGGAAGAGTGCGAGCGACAGATCCGTCGCAACCGGGCGGCCATGCACCACCAGCTCATGCAAAGCCGCTGTGCCCCCAAACGTCGCCGCGGCATGCAGGGAGCTAGATCCCAAAGGGTTCCTAGTTCATGGTTTGGGATAGCATGATTTTGGGTTTAGGGTTTAGGGTTTACGATTCCTAGTTCATGGCAGGGATAGTATGAACAAATTGAATGTCTATTCCATGTTTTGAGTTTGAGTACCAGTAAAATGAAAAAAACGTTACCCGCACTATGGCAAAGATTCTCTGTCAGCGGTTTGCCACCGGCTGCACACAACAGCCCTCGGATGTTTAGGGTTTAGGGTTTAAGGTTTAGGGTTTAGGGTTTCCATGTGGTCCTTTGGGATCTTCTTATGCTAACAGTCCTCAAAAGGGATTATGATACCCCCTATTAGAGTCCCTATTAAGGAGCTGTTAGTGTAGGGGGACAATCCCTAAATGATCCTCTCAAAACCAAAAAGGGAAAGGACACAAACACCCTAAACCCTAAACCCTAAACCCTAGACCCTAGACCCTAAACCCTAAACCCTAAACCCTAGACCCTAAACCCTAAACCCTAAACCCTAAACCCAAATTGTCCCAAAGGCCTACCTAGAGTCGGACACCCTCTGCGTTGTTGGCAATGGCGGCATGTTGTAGGGTGGGGAGAAGTCCACCATGGAGGTTGGCCCTGGCACTCCTTGGTAGTACAAGAAGGGTTTAGGGTTTAGGGTTTAGGGTTTAAGGGTTTAAGGGTTTAGGGTTGGTAGCCCAGGTAACCATATTTTAACAAAGGGGCACCCTTTTTGGGGCGGTGTACTTTTCAGGAACGTTGAACCAATAAAGGGGAAAAGGGTGCCGCTGGGGCTGGCAAGACTCAGAAGAAACTGCATGGCCTTGTGGTGCTTGAAGAAAGCGGTGAGATCCAGGGCCGACATCCAAAGTGGAAAGCCCAGTTGCGGTTCGTCCTTCGCCTTGTTCGTCTTAAGGGGTCGAAGGAGGGGTTTAGGGGATAAGGTTTAGGGTTTAGGGTTTAGGGTTTCGGGTTTAGGGTTTAGGGTTTAGGGTTTAGGGTGACTCTGTACCAATAAGAGTCCCTATATATCTACGTAGCCCCTACATATCCTTTAAGGTCACTTATAAGGGTCCCTCCTTTCGTCCCTTGATTGTCCAGCTTCCTGGAGAACTAGAGGTCGACCTGTGGTATTCTCTACCTACAGTCTCCATTGTAGTTCCCATATTTTGGGTTTAACCAATTCGACAAGTAGGAGTAATTAGAATAGGGTTTGGGGTGTTGCTATAGCATAATTGTAAAGGGACCCTAAGGGAATACTATCAGTAATTGTGCCTGACCCTAAACCCTAAACTTGGCCCTAAACCCTAAACCCTAAACCCTAAACCTCATACTTCTCTACTACCAAGTCGCAGTGCGTCCGTTCACATCTGCGCGCTTCTCCAGGAGCCCTCTCAACACCTCTCTGCATAGGGCCCCCCTCAAAAAAGCACATGCCAAAAACAGGATGGGGTTTAGGGTTTAGGGTTTAGGGTTTAGGGTTTAGGGTTTAGGGTTTAGGGTTTAGGGTTTAGGGTTTAGGGTTTAGGGTTTAGGGTTTAGGGTTTAGGGGTTTAGGGGTTTAGGGGTTTACTTCTCATGAAGCCCAAGGATGCTAGGGACATCCCCATAACATGCTCATGCTTTTTTGGGTTTAGGGTTTAGGGTTTAGGATTTAGGGTTTAGGGTTTAGGGTTTAGGGTTTAGGGTTTAGGGTTTAGGGTTTAGGGTCACCTCGACGTTCCCCGCCAATGCTGCATAGTGCAGCGGTCGCCACCCTGCGCTGTCTGCCTTGTTAATCTTCCTCAAGCCGTTCCTTACGGTTTAGGGTTTGGGGTTTGGGTTCAGGGTTTAGGGTTTCGGTTTAGGGTTTAGGGTTTAGGGTTTCGGGTTTAGGGTTTAGGGTTTAGCTATTAGGGTTTAGGGTTTAGGGCTCAAGGGACGTAGTAAGTAGGGTTATGATTGGGGTTGTAAGACCCCCTTATTTGGGTTGTCCTAACGCTGAAAGGGTTTTCTGCAAGGGCTCCTATAAGGGTTACCTGGGTTATGTGGGTTCTATAGGGTTTCGGGATTGGGGCTTAAGGGACGAAAAGAACTCTAAAAGGGTTTAAGGTTCATGCAATATAGGGATTCATAGTCATAGTATAAGGGTACTGAGCCATTCGGTCCCCCAACCCTAAACCCTAAACCCTAAACCCTAAACCCTAAACCCTACTTGTAAGGGTCATTTGGTCCCCAAGGGTCTGGTGCAGGAACTCGTCAACTGGATCGCTGGGAGAGTCATCGCAGCTGGGAAGAAATCCTGTGTTCCCAGTAGCCCCTTAATAATAAGGGTTTAGGGTTTAGGGTTTAGGTTTGGGGTTTGGGGTTTCGGGTTATTCGGTTTTCATGACTGAACCCAAAAAAACTGGCAAAAGGGTACTACTCAGGAACCTAGAATCCTTCTACCGGTTCAATCTCCAGCCCCCGCAGGTGAACTGTCTGGAGATTGAAGTGGCGTCGGAATCCGGGCAGGTCCCCCACTCGAAGGCAATGATAGAGCTTCTGCACGAGAATTCTCCGCATCACTTTAGCCAGCTTCTGACGATCTGCATCAATGGCAAAGTCGCCTTCACCAACCGAGAGGCTTGGAAAGGACAGCGCTGTGCCCACAACTTCAACAGAAGTTGCCTTGTTTGATCTTTAACCCCCCAATACAAGAGTAACTTTTCGCTCCCTTACTATGAAATAAGAGGGACCCCCTAAACCAACCCTAAACCCTAAACCCTAAACCCTAAACCCTAAACCCTAAACCCTAAACCCTAAACCCTAAACCCTAAACCCTAGTAAAAGTTGTAGTAAAGTCCCACCCTAGTCGCGTTCTGGATGAGAATCCAGGAGCTGTCTCGAGAGAGCTCGCGCGCGGCCCTTTCTAGGCGGCACCACCCTCCTATGCTGAACTCGGAACCCTCGCAAAAATCATACTTCTAGCTGTTTCTTAGGAATTCAAGTACCCCAAAAATAAATTCGAATTTGAGCTGTTTCTTAGGAATTCAAGTACCCAAAAAACACATTTCCAAGTATCCCTAAACCCTAAACCCTAAACCCTAAACCCTAAACCCTAAACCCTAAACTCTAAACCAGAAACAACAGCTTTCCAGGCATCCCTAAGCCTCTGCTGCTCCACGTGACCGGTGTAAGAACCTTTGCCTC